CGTTAAACTGTTATGAAAATTCGTTAGGTTGAATTGCATTTGAAAAGTAGCTAAAATGATTTAGCTTTATGTTAACAATTTAAGTGTATTCAAACATTTCAGCGTTATTAGAATATTTCGCCACTATCATCATTTTAGCATTTGTTTTAGGAGTAAATATGTAAGTGCTTAAGAATTATTATGGATCCTTCTTTAAATTAAATATTTATTGTTTATTTCTTTTGGAGCATAATACTGATTGGTCGATTAGTCGAAAATTTTATTAGAATAATAAAATTTTCGCTCTGTCTGCAAATGACAATAAATCCTAAACAAATAGTTTGATCGATTGGTCATTCGAGCCGTTAGCGAATTAATAGATGTAGACCTATAATAAGTCAAATAAATAAATTATAACATTTAGGTACGTTGTTACTTAAAAATATTATATTAACAGCTTTATGTGTTATCATATTTTATAGGCATCTAGTGGTAGTTGTAGTATCTAGTGTTACACCATATAAAGTCGTAAATCTGACGGAAGAGGTTACAACTATCACGGAAAACAAAGTAGATAAGTTTCAATCAGCTGGTATTTGTGGTAACACAAAACCAATATAAACTGTAACAGTTGGGTGCAAACTAAAGTGTAACACCTGACGTGGAAGTTCAGCCGACGTTGACGCCCACCCTCGTTGAATTAGAATTAGAATAGAGCTTGATTGGCGGTGCTGAGTTCTCAGACAAACTTGCCTGCATTCTGAACTTCATGGATTGATTATAGGTATAGACAGACAAAGATTTCATAGGTATATACTGCACGAATTTTACTTAAAAGTACCTAGGTCTGTTTCATAATAGATATCAGAACTTCTAATGACACCGAATTTTATGAAATAAAATATAAATATAATAGATAAGTAGAATCAGGATTGCAATGGTAGGTCAAGTCAAAGACTTTGGGAATTGTATTAAATTTTATTGTATTTCCGCATTGCGGTGTACTATGTCGCCTAAACGGTAACACAAAGGCTGTCAGAGTGTGCTCTTTGTGTCTAAACGAAAGAATTGTACTTTCCGCTTGAAAGGAGCTGAAAGCCATCACAATATTAAAGTGTCATTTAGAGTTACAGATTTATTAGTCATTGTGCTATTTCTGGAGAAGTTTTGTTCCAAAAAGCCAATTGAATGTTTTGGAAACTCGTAAGCAATAGCAGTACTAAGCGTATCTTTAGTCTATTTTCACCCTTTCCCTTATTTGCCTTACAAATTTTTATTGATAAATATTCCCAATCATAAAACTATTGTGATTATTAAAGTGCTTTTGAATTCGACCCCCCTTCGGGGAAAATACAATTAGGTTTTTGAGAAACCAATATTGTTATTGTCTAGTACTATCACTGATTTCATGAACAGTTAAGACGGTTTTCTAAAACTTAACGCCAGCTTGTCGCTCGTAGAGATATTATATTATTGTAAGAAATTAGTTTTACTATACTCTACTACTGTATAGTAAATACTCTACCGTGCTACTATGCTGTTTACTCTAACCGTGTACGGAGCCAATCATCCTCTTGCCGGAAGCCATCGCTTCAGCCACCTTTGTATCTAAGTGTGCTGGAATTATTATTTACTATTAGGTATATATTTTGTAATTTTTATCGTCCATTTCTCTTGTTTTTCTATTGTTCTGTCCATCGCCATTTCAGTGTTCGATATAATGGATTTGCCTGTATGAATTGTGTTTTATGTTTACTTTCTGTTAGCTTATCTTAATCTTTTCTCTTGACTCCAATAACACTCCTCTCTATACTGTTTTGGCAAACGTTGATTTTATTTGTTTTGTTTTTTGCTAACGTCTATGTTTGACAGCCATATGTTACCCATAACAGAATGCACATGTTTATAGACTTTTCTTTTGACTTTGGACGAAAATTATAACGGAATGGTACCCAAGAGATAAAGGGCGACAAACTAAACGATGGGAGGACGACATAAAAAAGGTGGCTGGTCCAGAATGGATCCGAGTAACAAAAGACAGAAAGAAATGGAAATCTTTAGAGGAGGCCTATGTAGAAAGACAAGCTGTTTTTGAACCGAACGCCGATATAAGAAGATATAAGATTGCATTTTAAAGCAGCAAGCAGTTTAAACAGCAATAAAGGCTAATTTTATTTTTATTTTATCTATACTAATATTATAAAGAGGAAAGATTTGTATTTTTGTATTTTTGTATGTTTGTAATGAATAAACTCAAAAACTACTGAACCGATTGCAATAATTTTTTCACCATTCGAAAGCTGCATTATTCAGAAGTAACATAGGCTATATAATATCACGCTAGGTCCTATAGTTGTGGAGCAGTAACCAAAAATGTTTTAAAAACGGGGGAAAAGTATCGTTTCTGAGGCCTTCCGTGGCGTGCGCTGAGCATATAGTTAAAGTTATACAAAAATGTTCTATAGATGAATTGTTTATCTTAACATTATTTTTAAAAAAGTCCGCGAGAGCATATGTCTACCTTTTATAGTTTACCCATAACAATCGTTTTAATGAATGGTTCAATCCTTATAAAAGTTTGCTCTAGATAACTTTTGAATTGTTCAATCGGTTACCTTAAGACGCGACATCGACAACGGAGGGCAGGTCGCTAAAAAAAAACTGAGAATAAATATAAATAAAACGTAAAACTATGTAAAAAATCTTAAGTCCCCCCGTGCGAAGCCGGGACGGGCCGCTAGTTATTATATATTTTGTAACACTATACTGTTTTGCTATGAAGTTAAAATAAACTAACTCGTATTATCAGATAAAAAATCGTAGGTATACGTACACGTACAATTTGTATTATCAGAAGGGATTAACTATTTCTCGGATTTTCATTATCAAATCGCAATTTGGAACTTTATAGCATATTAGTAGATTACGTATAAATATCAGTCCTGTAGATGTATGTGTGTGCGTATTTTAGTAATCCATAGATTAGGTATACATTTATGTGTGTTATGCATATGTCTAAACACCTTTAACTATTCCTTCGGGTAAAATATTCACGATGATATTAAAAGACTGGAACGATTTATTTAAGTAGGTATATAAAGGACCTTGTTTCTCATCTGTTGAGCAATGGCTTACTTAGTTTTTGTTTACAAACATCGAGTCAGTAATTTTAATTATTTAGAAACGGATATGGAATATAAGGGGATGGAACCAGTATCTTAATCTAATCGTAACAGAGTGCGCACCGTATGTATTGGCAACCAATCACAGATCTGTAGGTAATACTAGCAGCAGACTGTAATCTTTCTTTGTATCGTTGTATTTTCTATGTTTATCTGTATACTTAGAAATACGTCATCAATGATACCTACAAACATTTCCCGGGATTTACAGCTGCGGCCGGTTTTATTTTCTTTGTTTGGCTTCAGTACTTATAATTTAGTTGTGACGATTTCCATTTTAGGAATTTAATTGCTATCATAATTATAAATAACTTCACACTTATTATGGACAAAGTGTGCAATTTAATCGATACCAAAATCTGTATCACGCCTACCAACTTTTTATCTATAAACTATTCCTGGAAAGGAATAGTATTTTATGATGTCAGTATTGCGTAAATTATGCAAAAGTAACATGAACAGTTAACAATGAAGTCCTTCAATCAACCTATATATAAATTAATTTATAGATTTTCTTACATAAGTTTTGTTTGATGAACTTGTTTCTCGTTGCCATTTTTCCTTGACAATAATGAAATTTTAAATAAGAACTGTGATATTAGAATATATAATAAGAAATAGGTACGTTTTTATTTAGGAAAGCATGTTCTTCCGTAGTCCCTGGAACTTATGGCGATCTACCATGCAGGTACTTTAACTCAGCTGTCAGGTCTGCCGCCTATGTCAGGTTGCCATACATGGCCTTTAAACGATTCTCCCTTAGAACCACCCATGGGCAATGCCATCTTCTCTACCAAGTTTAACGAATGAATAAAATTTTCACAAATGATTTGTTAATTGATGTAAAATAGTTAAAATAAATTAAAAGTGGTAAATTTTAATTCGATGTAGACACGTTATTTCAAATATCCGATGAGATACCTCAATTATACAATACACGTAATTCGTAATTTTATTAATATATTTTAACTGTATTGGTTGAAAATCGAAATTGATATTTAGGACAGGTTACGAAAATGTGGACAGCGTAAAAGAAATAAATAGCAGCAAATGAATTTTGTAAATGGAAAAGTAATGTGTGTTTACATAATTTTATGTGTTTATTTTGACATTATAAGTTAGGATTTCAATGATATGTTTAGTTATGGCACTAATTTACTTTATCTTGGAATGACCTCTGAACATTTTCTTAAAATGTTAAATTTTCCAAAAAATCTAGAGCAGCAGGTTAGGTGTTGCACTGTGTTAGTAATAAAAATTCAAATGTATGACAAAGAACTGAGATCTCAAGAAAGAACACACACATCGGAAAAGTTCGAAACAAAACTAGTTTCATACATTTGTAATAAGTTGATATAAAATTTATTGATTCTCTTGGCGGCGTTTGCCGAGTTTTATGAATAATTTAAAATTAAATAGATTTTGTCAACTTCTTCCAATCTTTCGTCATTTTGTTGAAAGTAAAATCGTTACTGTTTAAATATTTTATTATAAAATTTTTGTACAAACATTTTAAATATATCTAAGAAATCTTTTCAGTTGTCACTGCCATTTGCAGTTTTATATTACATAAAAAGAGTCCAGCTCAGTCATGACCATCACTAGGCCTAGGTCGTAGAGGCCTATTTCTTCACCTTTTTGATATTGTAGATATTATTTAGTAGATATGTTGGAAGTGCACCATTTCACCCCAATTTATTACTTTCAATTTCTAGTAATTAATTAAAATCAAATCTATGATAATACTCGTTACTTAATCTTAGATTGGTATTCTAGAGTGGAGACCACCTTACTTTCAACAATATGACGGCAGATAACAATTTAGCCGAAACTTTGTCTTCAGTAAATTTCACAGGTGTCGCCGGAGTTAGGTGGAGTGTAGCTGAACGAGTCAATCAAAACTATCGAATCTTCTGCAGTTGACCCGATCAGAGTGATCTGGAATTGAAACAAGAAAATATGTAGTAAATTCAGACTGTTCGTGTTAGATACAATTTTCTAGTTTATTACTCTAAAATAATTATCATTTTTAAAAAAACATTCACTAAATTAGGATTTTCTCCTGTATCGTGGATGCGCTTATACACAAAAAATCTTTTATATAAACTTTGTACATCACACAGAGCTTTTCCGTTTGGGAATTAAAATTTGACACGTTGCGCAGCAGCCGGTTGCTTAAGGCACTGCGCCATCCTGCAGTCGATAGTCAACAGCAAATACTAGTTACATAGTTAGTGACATCATGGGCAGCTGTATATTTGAAAATATTATAATGCAGGTATATATTTAAAATACTCACATAACCATCAAATGTCGCAAAATCGTTTACAGTCACTTGTAATACATTCCACCCTTCAACAAAATGTGCATTAGAAGCGTAGTATAAAGTGAATCCTGCTACTGTGTCCTCACCAGAAGGCACTCTCTTTTTTGCCAAAACGATTACATAGTCTAATTTTGATACTGACTTCATGAATGTGTTGACTTTCACAACACCTCCTGGCATCATTCTGAAGACGAACGAAGAGATGCAACTTGATGTATCATTTGGTGCAATGAAAGTATTACTGTTGGGATTAATGCTATCGATGGACAGAGAATGATAAACTCCTAGGTGCCATGTAGAATATCCGCTGCATAACTGACTGTTAGTGTCAAATAAATTATCGAAATCTTGTTCAAAGTTGTATGTGACACACTCTTCGCCTGTACCGACTGGAGCTACTGTTGTGATGGGAACTGGTGTTGTTGTTTCCAATACTTCGTCTTCGTATATTTGACACTCGTCCTTATTGAATGTTGGTGAAATGTATCTGAATGAATCAATTAGAACAAAGGATTTTGCAGATCCCAGACCAAGGAACGATACCTGAAAAATAAACACAAAACAATTAATTACATTCTAAAGACTTTTCATAAATCAGTTTATGTATTGAAACAGTTTTTTAAAGTTTTATGCGTATTATTTTTAGGGACTTCCTAGTTGGTGATAAGATAAATGTATTCATGTAATTTTTAGAAAGATGGTAGATATAAACTATTAAGATTTAAGAAGGTCTAAAGATAACGATAATAATATTATCAGATGGTGAACAGATCTATATCTAAGTTGATACTAATCAGCGTAATCATTGTTTCAAGATTTAAATCTAACATAAAATGTAGAAATACTTACAAAGACATTAAATTTTCCACTGCCTGATAGAGGGACACTTAAAACATGCCATCCGTCAGCGTAATTAGTATTCAAAGGTGTCAGCACTGTACTACCGATCACAACGTCACTGTTATCATCTGCTATTTTATTAACAAGCACCGCAATTTGGTCAGTGTTCGTTTTCGATTCCATGTATGCGTTAACTTCTACTACACCACCAGCTTCAGCATTGAATGAAAATGAGGAAATGCAGCTTATAGAAGATTGTGGTGCTATAAATTGAAGCTTTCTTCACTTGGGTGGTCCACTGGCACAGTAATATAGTTGTTCAAGTTCCATTTTGAAAAGCCAATGCATACTCCACTCTCACTGTCGAATAACGTGTCAAAATCGGTTTCAAAATTGTAAGCAATACAACTTTCTGGAGGTTCAGGCCTTACAGGAGGACTACTGGTAACAAAATCTCCATCGTAAACGTTACAAACGTTGTCATACTCTGGCGGGACGTATCGGAATGAATCTATGATAACCGTCGACTCTTTTGCTGCTACTCCGAGAAAAGACACCTGAAATAAAATAAAAATAAAATGTATTAAAAAGTAATTATACTTCAAGCTATGTAGAACATTATATTCAATGAGTAATGAATAATGTACACGGCAGGGTTGATGGAGTGGCTGACTGGATACTGTACCGTGTATGACCGGTCCGATTCCCAAATTGATCTATGTAACTAAGGACAGGGCTCAAAATTGTATGAACACATATTTTACCCGCCCTACTAGGACTTTAAATTTTGTTAATTGAAAGGCCCTTTTTATTTAATGTATGTCAACCTAACCAAAATATCTATCCGAAAATATATAATTACGTAAAGTGACAGGATGACTTTCAGGAATATGTTAAATATCTGATGGCATTTGATGCAAACAATCTTGCAAATACTGTTTCTGTAGGCGACAGATAGGCGATGTGACGATAACTATTTCTTCTTAATAAATAAGTTATAATTATTTTCAGAAACGTGTACCTAATATTTGTATCTATTTATAATTCAATTATTGTCGAGTGTGTTGAACCATGTGATAAAAGTCTGCTTATAAGATTATATTTTTACCGATTATACGATAATAAGGGCTTAATTTTTAAGACATCACAAAAATACCAAAACCCAAACGAAATCTTTTAATCTAGATAAAGGCATAGTGTAACGCCTGTTTTCGTCAAAACATTCACTAATTATTTATTTGTATTGTATGCTGTTATTGAGGACTTCTGAAATCGAAAAACTAAGTAAACCTTCTGAGTAAAATCGAAACCTCACAGTCCCATAAATTAATATTACACTTGGCCTTCAGGGAAGACGAGGTATTTAGGTAACATGTCTAATAATTTAACCACTGTCAGAAGTTGATGGTTGAACTACTATTAGGTAATAGAGTATTTTTTCTAAGATATTAATAATAATACAATATAAATCTGCCTATCTATCCTAGCAAAATATGGAAAAAGACATGACTTAAGATTTTAGCCGTGTAGGAAGTGTTATCACGATAATTAGGTATATAACGTCGATAATTTTATGAGGTGTTTAAGTTTTACATACCTAAATCATTGGTGCATTTTGCCAGTTGTAATTGGCGGTGTACTTAAAAAACAAAAATGACATAAATTAAAGTGTCAAAAACTTACGTATCCACTGAAAATTCCGTTACTGGTCAAGCGTAATTTCAAAACATGCCATCCATTAAAGTAATCAGGGTTAAGAGGTGTCAGTACCTCAGTGCCCGTGACAATAGTCTTTCCAGTGCTCGAGACCTCGTTAGCAAGTGCAACGATCTGATCCCGTTGTGACTTTGAATCCATGTAAACATAAATCTCTAGTATACCACCCGCCGTCATTTCAAAATCATACGATGATATACAACTCAGATTCTCATCGGGTGTTATAAACAAATCCGTTTCTTGGTGGGGGCTATTAATACCAGCAATACTGTAGTTTCCCAAGCTCCATGTAGCCATACCAGCACACACAGGGTTAGCATTTGTAAAACTATCATAAAAATTTAGACCGAAATCATTAGTAACGCAATTATCACATTTTGTTGCCGAAATCGCTAATAGCGATATAAATATTATTTTATTATATTCCATTTTATTCCGACACTTACACACAACTGATACATTCAACTGTCTTGTAAGTGTGGTAAGTATTGGAATATTAAAGTTATCTTGGATAAGATTATATTAATATACGTATCCAGCACGTTGATAAAGTGCAATTGTTTTCTTTTTATCTTGACTAGTAGTCTGTTAGTGGGTTTGTTCACGATTTTAGCTTAGACATATGAATATATTACTATCTTCTACACACTTAGTTTAAGTATACAAAAGCAAGTTATAAAGTTAAGGGTTTTTGTGTATAAATAAGAAATTGTATCTATTCAATTCTATAATGGAATGATCATATAATGGAAAAAAATACTTATTTTTTTTTATTGTCGAAATCTATTGTCATATTATAATATTAATTTTGACTTTTATAAACATTCATTTATACGATTTCTTTTTAAGGGGGGAAAATCATCGAATGACTGCTCCCGCCTGGGTGAGGCGGGAGGGAGTGTCAGACTCTTACTGACTAAAAACCACCCCGTTCCTTCTCCTGCACGTCGCGCGTCGAGCCGGAGCCCCGGTTACCCGTTAGGTTCTCTGCGGCTCATTTATACGATAAGTGTGTAATATTGTGTTAATCAGGTACCTACACGATATATTATTAACTTTAATCTAGACATCAACACATAGACAGAAACGACAATTTATTTGCTACGTAAATATGTTAATTAAATGTTTTTGTTGTTTATGCTTCAGAACAAAGATAACATTAAAATGTTACAGGAAACGGGTACCAGATTTAAATCTGTGAATTCTGGGTAAACATTGGGAAAGCCAAGAGTGCTTTTATAAACGATCGTCATTGATTAATATTTTCCTATAAATTCTGTGTTTACAAAAATCATAATTATTCATGGTTTTTAAGTGTCATCACTATTATGGTTATTTATTAGCTAAATTCAAAGCTTATTTGCGTTGTAGACAGTTTTCACCGAAGGGAGTGAAAATTACATTATTTAGACGATATTAAAATTATTCTAATCTTCAGAATTATTACTATATAAAATGTGCTACTTACCACCATTTTTAACAGTATGTCATTGTCAATGTAACCTAGATAAAGTAATATGAGGTCATTACACTAGCACACTCGATTTTTTGGCCCATCTATTTTGTCGGTATCATCAAGTTATACTTATAGGTCAGAAGAATTTTTAAAGGATTTTTCATCAGATAAAAACTGGTATTGCAAAAACGACAATTTCAGTTTAGTTAATTGTAGTAGGTATATCTTAATTGTAGTGTATCTATAAATCGATAACACGAATTGACAAAGACAAATAAAAATGATACATCTGATTATTTTATTGCTGTTCTAAATGTCTACGAATTTCTATAATTATATTGTTATTGCGATCAATGTTTATATTTTTATTATGAATTATATCTGTTTATTTATTTAAGTACTATACATATTTACATTTCATTGTCACAATGCATATTGTGGTAATGAATTGAATTGGCATGTGATACCACAACCGAATCGGAGTGCCAACACGGCTTCACAGAAAATGGGCGTGGAGTGTGGTTCCTATTTCCCCCCAAAAGTAACTCCTCTGGTGTTGTGGGATGTCCATAGGTGGCGCCGATCGCTTACCATCAGGTACTGTACATACAAATCACCGTATGTCGCTTTAACAGAAAAAACATTTACTGTGTCACTGTTTGAGTTGTTATTTGTAGTGTAAGACCTAATAATGCATAAGCAATGTTAATTATTCTAGCTGCTATGGTGCTAATGGTTTGGTTACCTGAACCATACGTCTTGGTTCATTTCATCTTCATAATATTATTCTAAAATAAAAATAATATAATAAGTACCATTGCATAGAAATTCACTCTTAAGTGGATTAAAAAGTCGTGAATTTGCACAGCTGTACTTTCATAGTAACAGGACATGACCGCGTCTGTAATTTTGAACGAAAATCCATAAATCACCCAGAGGTTTGTTTGAGAGGTAATCCGATGGATTCCGAGCGTGTCAGGCGGCCGGATGTAGGTGGCGCCCGCGCGTGACGTCACCAGCACTTCCGGTAGCGTGCCGAAGCCGTCGGTGTATTTTGTCAGCCTATTTTCAAACCATTTATCTAGTTAGGTACAGAATAACTATAAAACTTGTAAGAAGAAAGAGTAAACTTAGACTAATGTAATGACTTGCAGAAAAATTCTAACACTAGTAGGCACGAACATGAAATTATGAATCAACTACACGTATACAATAGATTTTTATAACACGAACTAAATAGATGTTATCTATAATTTGTAACAATAATTGTAAAAATAGTTAGGGAGCAATAAATGTTTAGTTATAGATATTATGTGACGTAGAGATTACGATTTTATTGTTTAAGTACTGTTTCAGGATTTTATGAATGGACTTAACACCAATAAACTATTCTAGAATCATTGATTGCACGATTCTTCAACTTTTAAGCGAATTATTATAATCTGTAACTTTATCTGAGTCTGGTCGACGGTGTTAATTTCTTGCATATTTAAAGTCTTTGGGTTTTTACCAATAGTCTTAAGTCACAAAAAAAAACTATGAAAAGTTACTTCGTGAACTTATACTGTTGTCAGCGTTTCTGCTTGCACCAATCGTGCATTAGAAGCAAAAGTTCAACTTTACATAGTGCGACTCTATACATTGATAAATAAATTACCTATGTTATTTATGTACTAAATACTTTGGGCAAATGCTTTTGCTACTGTTATACATATATTTGTATATACCTAGTGCCCTCTCCATGAATATTTCAAATTATATAAAAGTACAAGATAGTCCTAGATTGCCTTTGCAAAAAGATAGGACATGTATGATAGTAATAGGATCCTGGTAATATGTCCAATGTAATTCTGAAAAAAGTTTAATCAATAAATACTACAGTAGCCGTTTTTAAATACAATTTTTGACGCATTATTGTTATGAATTTAATAATTATGCTCTAATCTACAATCTTTGTATTTTGAACAATATCAATCAATAGTGATAAGTTGTAGCGATTGTATCATAGTATAAATGACTTTAGAAAAAGCTAGCCTACGACAGTCGCTAAGTCTATGTGATTATTAAAGTAATTAACGTATTATTCTTTAAGATTTCACTTTAGGATCTATATCGTGATTAGTTATCAGTTAATATCTAAGATCAAATTTGATGACAACATTAAAATATTTTTGTTTGCGAATGACGTTGATGCCACGTTTCTGTTTCTGACCATACGTTTTCATTGTGTTCGAAGCATGTTCATTATAATTAGGTATTAGTACACTGAATATAGGTATACAAAATGAATAGCGACACCTTACTTTTTATTAAAATTTATATATTTCACCTACGTTGGTAGATACGTCAGAAAGAGCTATATCTATTAAACAATCCTTAATAATACATCCTTTGAATTAAAGTCTTCCCTATATATATATATATAGAATCTCTATTTCGTATTAAACACTATAAAATGTTTGCTAAAAATATGCGAATTACTTGCCCGATCAAATGCGTAGAAAGGAAATGATTTATATTTACCTGCCTAACATTTGACGCTATTAAAATGTAGTGATTAGTCAGTGAGCTTGTTATAAGTCGATAAGATCGCACTCGATAACTCTATTAACTTCGAAGATACTTTGATAAAACTATAAATGTTCCTAGTAATCGAATAAATCTTGAAGGAAAAGACGATTTACTTTTAATTTTGTTGTTTATAATCGTGATAATTTGTATTATATTGAAATTCAAGTTTAGGCATTATCGACCTTATGGTTTGAAAATCTGGATTTAATTTAAAGAACCTTTTGTACTGATTTTTGTAACCTGAAATGAGTGCTTTTGTATAATAGTTTATGGGGTGCCTACATGTTAATAACATTTTTCCCAATGAAGTAAATAAATAATTTTATGAACAAAGTTTTAAATGCTGACAGTAGCTCAGTTTTTTACAAAAAAAATTATTGGATATATTTCATACAGAATTTTGTTGATATTATAATGTCTGATATTAAACAATTTAAATCTTAGCTATGTATGTAAGCTTAATTAAAATCGTGTGAGATTTCTATATAATAATTAATAATATAATAATATGTAGATACTTAATTACACTTATCTTAAATATTTGTGATATGAGCATTTTCATGCATTACGATAAGCAGGTGTAATCATTGAATAACTTATTTGTAATCCGATGCCATTTCTTTCTTTCTTATGTCAACACTCAATATTCATTAAATGCCAGTTTTCGGGATCGTCGAGATAACAATAATTATGTAAAACGATCAGCTACTCAAATCAGAGAATCAGATGGCTAGACAAAAACAGCGCAAGTAAGCAATACAAATAAATAGGTTCATGAATAATGCGATTTCCAAGGTAAGGGTGTTTGCCTTGCTGACGACACTCGTTCCATTTGGGCACACTCACCGCAGACTTAAACTCTCATTGTGGTAATAGCACATAGTTTATATAGTGAGTCCGACCGAACGGCGTAATGTCTTATAATATTTCATAGGAATTGCCGTCGGTTAGTACGTTCCCTTTTTGTGATTTCAACGATTTGCAGGTAAGCTAATTTAGTAAAGCGGTCGTTTGAAACATTGCCTGATATATACAGTGCTACCAATTCAGTCCCAGTAGATTTTTTCAACTTCATTTTAGATGTAGACAACAAACATAACATAACATCACGCCTTTTATCCTCAAAGGGGTAGGCAGAGGTGCACATTATACCACTGTACAATGTAACACCCACTTTTCACTATTTATGTTATGAGTCCCATGTAATAGGGGGTGAGCCTATTGCCATATACCGGGCACAGTTCCAGACTCCGTGCTACTACTGAGAATTTTTTAAAAACCCAGTAATACTTTGCCCGACCCGGGAATCGAACCCGAGAACCCTTGCTCGGCAGTCGCAATTGCGACCACTGGGCCAACGAGGCAGTTTAGATGTAGAATTATGGATTTATGCAAACAAAAA